CCACACACTGCTGTCACTGTCACTGTTCTCCTGTGCTGCCCAGGTGGTACCTGAAGATGCTGCAGTGCTACCGCTGCCGGCAGTGGTTCCACGAAGCCTGCACCCAGTGCCTCAGTGACCCCATGATGTTTGGAGACCGGTATGACCCTTCTGGGTGTGCTGAGATGGCTCCCCAGGGAGACCCTGGGCACATCCCAGCTGTGTGTCCTGATCCATCTGACACTGACATGGATCCTGTCCCACAGAGCCCTGCTCCTCCTGACCTTGCTGTCACTGTTGGCCCATGCCTGGGCCCTGCATGGCTGTAGGATGATCCTCACTCCCAGCATTTTCCGGGATGTTTTCCAGGTTCTATGTGTTTTTCTGCTCTGTATGCAACCAGGGACCAGAATACATCAAGCGCCTGCCCTTGAGATGGTAAGAAATGGGCTCTGCCTCCTTTGGAATGTGCCCAGGTGGCTCTGGAACACCGGGCTGGCTGATCCCTGGGAGTGTTCAAGACCAGGCTGGACGGGGCTTGGATCAACCTGGTCCAGTGGAGTGTCCCTGCCCATGGCAGGGGGCGGGACTGGATGATTTTTAAGCCCCCTTTCAACAGAAAGCATTCTAGGGTTGTGTGTTTGGGTTTTCCCCCAGCTGCGGGCAGTGCCCCACCTTTCCCCAGAGCTCAAGAGATGCTGTCCTGGCTGTGACACCTGCTGGGATACACCTCTGGGCTGGGCTGCTTTCCCTGTGAGGTGTGGGAAGGTTCCAGTGGTGGGTTTAGGAGGACCCGAGAGCTGTTGTAGCACTGGCAGAACAGGGCATAGTGGTGGCACCATCCTGCCAGGGCTGCTGACCCTGTGCCCCTCTTTGCTGCAGGGTGGACATCGTCCATCTCGCCCTCTACAACCTGGGTGTGCAGAGCAAGAAGAAGTACTTTGACTTTGAGGAGATCTTGGCTTTTGTGAACCACCACTGGGACCCTCTGCAGCTCGGGAAGGTACAAACACACCCTGGGCTTGGGCTGGAGAGCAGCCATGGGAGTGAGAAATGCAACCCCAGCTTGTGCAGTGCTCAGCATGGCAGCTCCTGCTTCACAGGAGCTTAATCCCCTTCCTCTGCACTGCGATTTTCCTTGTTGGAGTGTCAGACCCGATACCTTTCCCGCTGGGAGCTAGGGCTGGGACAACCGAGGCGTGTTGGAAACCTGTCCTGGGGGCAGGACGGGGCGGCTCCCCGAGGGTGGCAGTGCCAGACCAGGGTGGCTCTGGCCAGGCCTTGGCTCCCTCCCTCCCCGACCTCGGGCAGGAGCCGAAAGCCGGAGTTCGGGTTCCCCCGTCTGTTTGGATTTTGCATAACCACAGAGGGCACTGAGCCCTGCTTGCCCCCTGTCCCGCAGCTCACGGGCACCCCCATCTCGGAGCGCGGCCCCCACCTCCTCAACGCCCTCAACAGCTACAAAAGCAGGTGAGTCCCGGGCCAGGGCTGGCGACAGGGTGGGATGCAGGATGTGCCAGCCCGGCTGATGCTGTTCCCTCCCCTCTGCCCCCCAGGTTTCTGTGTGGGAAGGAGATAAAGAAGAAGAAATGCATCTTCCGCCTGCGGATCCGCGTCCCCCCGAACCCCCCCAGCAAAGTGCTGCCGGAGAAAGCCCCCGGCGAGGGCGAGAGCAGCTCCTGCGAGCTGAAGAAGAGGGGGAAAAGCAAATACGCCCATAAGGACAGGTGAGTGGCCCCGGTGCCCCGACATTCCGGCAGCAGCAGCCCCCCCTGCCCGCGCCCCGCTCACCCCCTGTTTGCAGCCTCCTGCCGCGGCAGCTCCAGCAGCAGAAGCGGCGAGCGCGGCGCAAGAGGGCCAAGTTCCTGCTGGAGGATGCCATTCCCAGCGTGAGTCCTTCGTCCCCTCCTCTCCGCAGCCAGCCTGGGATTTGGCAGCCGCGGGGGACTGCCCGGCCGCGGGGCTGCCCGCAGGTTTTCCCCACTCCCGATGGGCAGGGAGAGCTCCTGTCCCTCGCTTTGGGGAGTGGGACACGCTCAGCCCCGCTCCGGGCCAGCGGGGCCGCGGGAAGGAGCGCGGTGGCCCCGGGCAGAGGGTGCCAGGGGTGGGGTGTGGGCAGCTCCCCTGTGCCAGGCAGTGAGGAGTGAGCTTGTTTTTGTGACAGAGCGACTTCACCTCGGCCTGGAGCACCAACCACCACCTGGCCAGCATCTTCGACTTCACGCTGGATGAGATCCAGAGCCTGAAAAGGTCCGTGCAGCTGGACCGGGGATGTGGGGGGCCTGGGCTGCTGCTTGTGCCAGGCTGGGGGTGATGCTTCACCCCAGCCTGTCCCATCCACAGTGCCAGCTCGGGACAGACCTTCCTATCGGACGTGGACTCCACAGATGCCACCAGCACCTCGGGCTCGGCCACCACGAGCCTCTCCTACGAGTCCAGGTGAGGACTGTGCCCCTTGTTCCCTTCTGGAGGGGTCCCGGTGGCACGGCCAGGGGACTGAGGCCCTGTAACTTCCCGCTTCGTGTCCCACCTCGAGGAGCTTTTCCTCCCCGTGTCCCAAAAAGGGCTGGGGCCCCCAGGGTGGCACTTACTGGTGCACAGGATCGGAGCCGTCGGTCCTCGCTGGGCTCCCCCAAATTCCCGGCGTGCCAGCACAAACCGGGGGCACTTTTTGGGTGCTGCCCTCACTCGTGCCCTGTGCCCTCCCCGGCAGCCGCAGGACCGTGGGCAGCCGCAAGCGCAAACTGGCGGTGCCAGCCTATGCCTCGGGGGCCAAGAGGAGAGGGGGAGAGCTGGGGGGGCGCCCGGCCACGGCCACCCCCGAGGGCAGCGAGGCAGCGGCCGGCCCCGACCGCCCCGACGACGGCATCGACAGCCACACCTTCGAGAGCATCAGCGAGGACGATTCCTCGCTGTCCCATCTCAAGTCCTCCATCAGCAGCTACTTCGGGGCCGCGGGCCGGCTGGTGTGCGGGGAGAAGTACCAGGTGCTGGCGCGGCGGGTGACGCTGGAGGGGAAGGTGCAGTACCTGGTGGAGTGGGAAGGCACGACCCCTTACTGAGCCCCGCCAGCCCCGAAACCTCTCCCGGAGCCAAAGCAAAGGAGATCGGGCTGCTGGGGAAGCCCGTGAGGCACAGGAGAGGTGCTGGTGCCTCCCCCGGGCAATCTCGGCGGGTGGAGGCAGCTCCCAGGCCGGCAGCGCTGCCCAGGAATGAAACATGAAGCCCTGCCATTCTGTTTTTTTAACGTTAACAATTTTTAGTCCCTTGGCTGTGTTTATGCAGAGCGTGGCCCAGCCGTGCCCTCCTGATGGAGCCCGGTGCTGGTGAGAGCAGTGAGGGTGTCCAGCCCTTCCAGAAGGGTCCCCCTGGCACAGCTGGAGCAGCTGCTTGGGGAGCACCCCCTGCTCACACAGAGGGAGCTGTGCCTGGCACAGCCGGGCTCATCCCGGTGTCCCAGCCTGACTGAGCAGCCTCGAGGGGGTCCTGCTGCCAAAACACAAACCCCTCTTCATCCCTCGGCTTTCACAGCTCCTGTGAGAGCTCTCACATCTCTGTGCCCATGGGAAACCAGGGACAACTCTTGGGGTTTTCCACCTCATCCTGAATCCATTCGTTAAAGGAATGTGGTTTGTTTCATATAGGAGGAAAATGCCCCCAAAACCAGCCCACATGTGGCTGTTGCAGCCGTGGGGCAGATGTGCTCTCACCCCATGACCTGGACTGTGTGTGGTGCTGCACCAGCTTCATTTCCCTGTTCTGACAATCATGATCTTGGAAGAGATCATCCAAAAAAAAATCCTCCTTTGCCTTAAAACCACCTTGGGCACTTCACAGACTGGAGCCCAAGGCCTTTGTTTCTACAGGAATCTTCATCCCAAATGTGCCAAACCAGCAGACAAACCAAAAAAGGCTGAAGAGGACAGTGGGGGCAGGGGGAATGGGCTGTACCAGGGTCCCTGTGACCTCCTGGCTGTGCCTCTCTCGTAGTGCTGATGTTTGTGAGCATTGGGCTTGATTTGTCTGCAGGAGAGAAGGAGCAGCCCCCTCCTTTAACAAAGCAATACTGCCAGCTTGGGCAGGAGCAGAGCAGTTGGCTTTTTAGAAGATTCCAATATCAGATAGATGTGTTAGATTTATTTTCCTTTAGAGAGAGAGAAAGATATTTTTAATGTCCTCCTCATCTCTCCCCCATCCCACCGTGGCTGTCCCATGGGATGGAGGGTGGGGTCCTGTCCAGCAGCAGATCCTATCCTGTCCTGTCCTGTGCTTGTGGGATCTCGGCTCATCTGGAGCAGAGTGTCCCTGTCCTTTTGGGAGAGGTGCTGCCAGGTCCCCCCATCCCTGGCAGGGAGGCATCCAGCAGCTGGAGAACTCCCTGTCCTGCCTTAGCTTTGTCCTTGAAGGATCACTTCAAATATTTCCCTTTCTCAGTGCCTAAGGAGCCCTTCCAAGGGGCTGCCAAGAGCTGTGCCAGGGCTGAGCAGGGTTATGCCTGTGGGATGTGCCAATGGACACCACACTCGTGGAAGCACACACAGGACGTGGCCCTGGCTCCTCTCTGCTCCCTCTCCTCCTCTCCTGGCTTGCAGAGAATTGAATGTGGAGCCTTTAAAAGTATTTTTGTTGCAGAGTATATTTTGCATTCGCTGTAATAGAGATTATAACAACTCTGTGCACCTTCTGATTTCTGAGTTCAGGTTGCTGCTTGTAAGCAAGTCTCGTTTATACCCAAGTTGTAATTAATGTGTCTGATGTACAATTAAAAAGAGGGGTTTTTTTCAATGTCACTGTTTTTTTGTAGCGTGAGGATTATTGAGTTGGGATGCCCAGTGCCCAGCATGGGCAGCTGGTGCTGCTGGGTTGTGTTCTGTGCCAGGTGAGATGTGCAAGCCCAGGACAGGCGTTTCCTCCTGCCCAGCTGTGACCACCAGAGCCTGCCCAGGTTAGAAATGCTCCTGTTTATTCCCTTCCCAGTCACATAAATAACTCAAAAATGTTCCAGAAGTTATACCCCAGAAACCATTAACATAAGGATCTTTTTACAAGGTTCACCTTGGCCTGGGCAGAAAGCCACTGCTCAGGTGGGGGTAGGGGCAGGGCCAGGGCAGTGTCGTGGTCCTGCTGGCACTCGGCTTCCCTGAACTGACTGTGGATGTTGCCCAGCTCTCCGTGACGGGCCAGAGGTTTGTGAGTGCTGCTCCTGCTAAATCCTGGCGGTGTTTGCTGCAGTTCTGTCAGGCTCCCGGGCCGGGCTGGCTGCCGGAGGGGAGGGGGGGTCCCGGCCACATCCACATCCTGCAGCTCCGGGCTGGGGAAGCGGAGCGGGGCAGGATGCGGAGCGGGAGCCAGGCAGGGTTCAGGGCTGCTTGTGGGGACACATGGCACTGCTGGGGCTGCCAGGCCACGGCTCCCAGCTGGAATTCGCTGCTGACAGCCTGAGGCAGCCCCGAGTGTCCTGACAGGAACATCTCCGCGTGTCCTCACCCACAGCTTTTAGTGCAGGCTTCCCCAGCTCAGCCCAGGCTCCGGGGTAGGCCGAGGTTTCCCAGCCCCAAGCTCCTGTGTCACAGCAAAGCCCAGAAGGTAAAAGCCGCTTCCCGCACGGCTCAGCGGGGTCCCGGCCTCCCCAAAAATGAGCTGAGCTTTGCGCCTCTCAGTCCCGCGGGACGTTCTCCTCTATCCATTGGAGGTAGAGAGGGTTTCCTTGGTCGATAGGCAGGCTGATGATCTCGGGGATTTCAAAGGGATGGATGGATCTAAAGTGGAAACAGGCGCGGAGGAGCAGAGTCAGCGCCAGCCCCGCAGGAAGCCGCGCTCCAGCCCCGGCCCTGCCCGCGCCCTCCCGCACTTCAAAGCACCCGCAGCTTCTTTCTGCCACCTGGGAATTTTGCTTTGAGTTTGGGGTTTACCACAGACTGCCGGGGGCCTGGCCCAAAGCTGAGTGAGCTCCCCCCTCGGGAAATGCAGGAAATCCTGCCAGGATAACCTGTGTGAGAAGGAGGATCCTTCCTGGAACCCAGCATGGAGCGCCGGGTGAAGCCCAGCAGTTGATATTTCTGCCACCTTTTCCTTTTTGCTGATGCCATCTCCGGGTTTTTCTGGCTTGTAAGATACAGCAGGAGCACTTAACCCGGGTGGGAAGGGGCTCAAGGAACTCCCAAAGCTGGAGCAGAAGGTGACAGCCTACCATGGATGGGACACCCATGCTCCTGTGGAGCCAGAGCCTCACCTGACGTAGCTGGACAATTCCCCTATTTTGGACGTCCTTGTTTTCACCAACTGTGGAGAGTAAAAAACCAAAACAAGCCCCAGGGGAGATGTGAAGGGATGGAGGGATCCTGATGTGCAGTTCCACTGCCCCCACCCAGCACAGCCAGGGCTGTGACAGGAGCTCTCCCAGGGCTCTTCCCTGCGGGATATTCCCAAACCCAGGGCAGGTTGGTGCCTCCCTCCCCAAACCTCTCCGCAGCCCCTTTCAGCTGGGACTGCTTGCAGCAGGGATTTTTGTGATGTAGGGAATAATCTCTTACCAGCAGTATTTCAGTGGATTCTTCCAGTTCCCCTTTCCAGAAATATCTGGATTTAAAAGAAAAGCAGCATCAGCAAATCCAGCTCTGGCTGCAGCCATGCCAACCCTCAGGTTACTTTCCCTGCTTGGGGCTTTTTGCACCATTTTTTTTCCTTTACAAAGTGGCTCAAGAAGTATTGCTGGCCCCAAAACTGCTGAGCACACGAGTGAGCACCCCAGATTTATGGACCAGAGCCTCCTCCAGAGAATTTGCCCAGGGGGACTGGCAAAGCAAATTTGCTGAGACTGGGGTGTCCTGTGGTGGCCCCGCTCTGAGGCCAGGGGACAGTGCCTGCAGGGGTTGTGGCTGGGAGGCTGAGCTTTCTTCCTCTCTTTCCCCTGCAGGAGAGGAGCTGCACTTCTCATGAGTCAGACATGACCTTTGAAAACATTTCTGCTGCCAGGAGCCCGTCCTGATCTCATCTGCCTGCAGGGCTCCTGCGCGGGGAGGACTCGGAGGCGTCGTGGTGTCTCCTGAGCAGGGCACGGAGCAGAATCCAGCTGGAGCTGCCAGGGCTGTGCAGGAGCAGCTCTGCTCTGGCTGTTTGAGTTTGCAGGAAATGATGGATAAGGGGAAGAAGGGCATTAGTGGGTTTGCCCTCAGGGGTGCACTGTAGGGATCCCCTCCTGAGGGAATCTGTGGTGGGATCTGCTCCTCACCTCTGCCAGGGTGTTTCTGTGAGGAAAAGCTGTTTCGGGGCTTTGCTCTTGAACCCCTCTAACAAGTACAGTCCCCTTGCATGGACAGCTGGGGACACCTGCAGAGCAGGGCTGGGCCCATTCCAAGGTCAAACCCGCTGATCTTCCTGCCTGAAAAAGCTGCTTAATTTTGTAAAGGCCTTTTCTGGTCCCTATCTTGGCTGCTTTTTAGAGCCTCTAATAACAGGCACCATGTCCTCAGGACCATAAACCCTAAATTTCTGGATGTCTGTGTAGCCAAGTAACCAAGAAATGAATGATCCCCATGGGCAGTCGGAGCATCTGTGCTCCTCAAAAAGCTCAGAGCATAGTGAGACTCGTCCCCACCATCTGCAGCAAAAAACAGATCCAGCAGCCTTCTGGAAACTGAGGTGTGTGTGCATCCCCTCCTCCCTCCCTCCCTGAGGAGCCCAGGTTTGCCTCCTCCCTTGGGGAATATCCAGCCCAACTTACAAGGCCGAGCTCTTGGGCAGGATGTTCACGTAGGCAGCCAGTTTCTTATCCATGATGGCCCTGGGGGAGACAGGAGTGGAGTCAGTGCCAGCCCAGCCCAGGGCTCATCCCCAGCCCTGGGGACATTCCCTTGTGCTGCCCAGGACTGGCAGCAGCAGCTTTGGCATTGGAGACATGGAATTTTGGGTTACTTATTACCCTGAGAAAACAGAGGCAAAGGTGAACTTTGGCTGGAGACACTTCAGATCAGGCGCCCCTGGCAGGGCTCTGGGACCCTCCTGGTGCTGAGGAGGGAATTTGGGTGTTGTTCCTGGCCTGGAGGACCCTGCCCAGTGCCAGCCCTGCACCCCTCTGGCTGTGGGGTCACCAGGGCAGGGACTGAACCGTGGGACAAGAACCCGGCCTGAGATGGATGGGAAGGGTTTGTCTGGCACTGTCCCACTGTGCCCCCTCCTCCCAGAGCAGCCTGAATGTGTATCTCGTTAAATTAACAACATCAAGGTTTTTCAACCTAAAATGTCCTAGAAATCTGAAGCCCAAATCAATTGGGCAGCCTCATTAGTTGTGGGTTTGTTATTGCAGAGCTGCTCAGGGCTGCCAGCAGAAGCGATACTTCAGGGATTACAGAGCACCCAGGCAATCTCAGGCAGGATTTTTAGAAGAAAGGGGGGAAAATGTTGTGTTTTGTGAGCAGAGCAGTGTCTGGCCCTTCTCATGGAGGTGGCAGCTGTCCCTCCAGGCAGGGCACCAGTGACTCCACCTTTGGTTTTCTTTAACTCTACCTTGGGGGGACCATGACTGGAGAGGAAAAGCACCCCAGGAGGCTCAGGGTTGTTTGCCCTCACCATGTGTAGGCAGTTCCAGGCATTTAATGCTCATGGAGCATCTTGAGTTAATCTTTAGACCAACAAAGTGCAGCAGCACGAGCAGAGCCACCCCTGCTGTGCCTGTCATGTCACACATGGCACAAATCAGTTTGGATTTGCTGCCTGCAACTTGCAAGTCCCTTTAGCACAAGAACCTTTTGGTTTTGGTGCTCTGTCCCAATAAATTGAGATCCTAACTGAGATCCTGAACTTTGTCCCATCAAGCTGAGCAGCAACAAGAGGCCACCAGGGGAACAGAGAACACTGTAAGGATCTGAATGTGATCTGTGGAAAATGTCTGCATAATACATGATAGCTTTGGGTCGAGCACTTAATTGTGTGTTTCTTTGTCTGTGCCTCTCAACACGCCCTAAAGTGAGACAGATTAAATATTAATAAGCAGAAAAGCAAATAAAATGATAAGCACAAATCTAAGGCAGCAGTGGGGGCTGGTGGGGTGCTGGGCAAGTTGGGTGACACCACCCAGCCAAGGGGGCTCCTCCCAGGACAGGCAAGAAGGTCTTGAGATGCTGAATTCTACCTGCAGCTCTTCTGCTTTCCCAAAGCTTGAACCCCTTTTCCTTAAACCAGTGGAAAATTTCCTTGCAGACTGATCCATCAGAGTGAGTGCTCCACTGAGCAAAGGAAGAACAAACACGACAGCACAGGAAAAAGGAGTGGAGGGGAAATTAGTGTAAAGCCCTGTGTCATCCCTGCAACCAGGGCTCCCAAATTGCTTCCAATTCCAGAACAAAGGAATAATTACTCCACCAGTAAAACCACAACCAAAGTACACATATCTCAGCGAGAGGGAGTGATTTATCTCCTCTCCCTTCCCTGCAAGATGAGGAACAAAGTGTGGAAAGCATTTGCAAAGCTGTTAAGATGAGGCATTTTCAGGAACTGAGGCTCTTTTCACCAGGTACAGTTGCTCCTTTTTTTTTAGGAGACATCAAGCAGCACAGACATAATTCTATTTGAATTTCTTAACACAGTTGCAGTATTTAAGGTGACACAAACTCTCTTTCAGTAGCCTGTCAGTTCCTGAACATGTCTGGGAGCACTTTGCTGGAGATGGAGGGGTTTTGGCAGCAGCAGAGCAGCAGGAAAACAGCGCAGGAGGTGTTGCAGGAAACTTCACGGTCCATCATAAACACTTCCCCAGTCAACACGGGTTCAGTTCTTTGAACAGACCATCCATTGAGTCAGGGACTGACAGATGTGTGAAAAAAACTCTGCCTGCAAAGTATCTCATGTATTAAAATAGAAGAAGGAAAAAAATTGAGGAAAAGCCCTCATTCCCTGAAGTTTGCCTGGTGAGCAGAGTGGAACTTCACAAGTGTTTGTTGTGGACCCCTTTCATACTTTATTTTCAAGTCAGAGCATTGTGCTTTGTCCCTCTCTATAAATATCCCTCCTGGCATTTTGTTGTCTGTGTTGTTCTACGGAGAAATAAAGACTGTGGCAGATCAGAGAACATTAGGTTGGAGCTTAATCCATCTGAGAGCCCAGAAATTCAGGGTCATGAAAATGGGTCTTGAAAATGCAAGGCAGTGAAATAAATTGGGATAAATAAAATGGCATTGACTTCAGAGGCAAATGTCAGCTTTCCTGGGACAGAGCAGCTCCTGGCACGGGTTGTGACACAGAGTCACTGGAAAGGAGCATTGCTTGGGTATCACAAATTCCCAGAATGGTTTGGGGTGGGAGGGACCTTGAATGTCACTCCAGCCCCTGCCACGAGCAGGGACAACTTCCACTATCCCAGGCTGCTCCAAGCCCCATCCAGCCTGGCCTTGGACACTTCCAGGGATGGGGCACCCACAGCTGCTCTGTCCCCCTAGAAATGCAAAGTACAGAGGGACAAGGAAATATTCAGCTTTATTCCAGCTTTGGAACCCCTCGAGCAGAGAAGCAAGGGAAGTGTCCCCGTACCTGGCGATGTCCTTGGCGATCTGCTCGTTGAGGCAGTTGACGAAGGCGATGGAATGTGTCCCTGGGATGTAGCTGCCAGTGACAGCGGAGTGCAGGTGCACAGCCAGGCCCCGGAGCAGGGGGTACATGAGCACCAGCAGCGTCAGCACCTCGGAGAGAACACCAGGGAGGTGAAATACTGCACTTTGGAAAACAGCATTTACATTGTCCGTGACTTGAGGGACATTTCCAGGCTTCTCTCAACATTGCAGGTAAATTAAAGTAAGGTGAGAACCTGCTCCTAGGGGGATTCATTCCTCTCCAAGAGGGAACTCTCACGTTTAGGGCAGGAGAGGGGTGGTTTTGAGGCTGTATCAGCCCACGGGGGCCCAGGCCTTGACTGTGGGAGGTCAGCCCCAGACTAACAGGGGTTACAGACCCCACCAACCAAGCACAGCAGCCAGGACTGGTTTTCTGAAGAAGAATAAGGGGGTAAGACATGGAATGTCTCGGTTTATAGTGCAAAAAAGAGCAAGAAAGGAATGGCTCCCACACCCAGCACATCTCTGCTGCTCAGGACATGTCTGTAGCCATCCTTTAGCCATGGGTGAGGTGTGTCCATCCCTCTGGGAAATGGGGGGACAGGACCCTCTGCCTCCCTGGGGATGTGGGCAGGGGGAGAGCAGGATGACAGCGATTTGTCCATGGGAAACAGATTAGGTGCCAGGACCTGGAGAATTTCCATCCTGCCCTCTCAGGTCGTTCTCCTCTGCCACGGCTCTGTGCAGCCCACCCAGCCCACGCTCCAGCCTCACACCCCCACTTCAAGGCAGGTTTGAAATTAATCTCATCTCAACTATCTGCTACTAAAAGCACAGTGAATCAGGGTCCTGTGGGGCACGGAAATCTCGATGTACACAGCCCAGGGCTGCACAAACACCAAGGCTCTGCCCGTGGCCCGCCAGAGCAGCAGCAACAAGTGGGGTTTGCTGTGCAGGAGCTGCTGTTCCTGGAAAGGCCCTTCACAGCTGTTTGTGCTGACACACCATCAACAGCCTCCCAAAAATACACCCATCATCCCAGCAGGGATGCTGCTGGAATGGGGAGGTTAGTTTGGAGTGCTGAGCAGCAGCTGAAGGACGGTGCCATTCTGGGCTGCAGCGCCTTCCCTTTGTCTTTTGTTTTGGTTTTGACATAAACAGCATCTGGCCCTGATTCAGCTACAGTGATTAAAAAATGCTTAGAAGACTAAGAATATATTCCTTTTCCTCCTTATTGTCACCTTTCTTTGTCCTCTGAAAAACCTGCCATTAAAGCACTAATGTAGAAATCTCTCACTCTTTTTTTTACATTTTCTTTTTTAATTGAATTAAAAATCTCTCTTGTCACCACAAAGCCAGGAGCTCCTTCCCATTTGGAAAATGACTGATGTGCTGTATTGCTTGTCTCCTCTGTCCCAATCCATTTGAGGAAATATTCTTTGTTACCACAAGACTTCTCATCATAATTTTTAGAGCTCCTTCTGTGCTCTTTTTTTCCCACTAAGCCATTTAACAAATATACAACAAATCCCAGAAGCTATTCAGTGAGTTACAAGCTGAACAGAGATGTGCTGGCGTACCTATTTTTCCAGATTAAAATGTAATCATGCTCCTTGCTCAGGAAAAAAACAAACATCCAACCTGTTCAGCCTGCTGATCATTAATCTTCTTGTAAGATGTACGTGCATGTGATGAGGAAATCCCCAGGATCACTTGTGATTGAATATTAGTACAAACATGAACACCGTCTTTTTTCTGGTGTTTCTCTCTTTTTTTTTTTTTTTTTAATGAAAAGGAAGATTCCCCCTTTTTTTTCCAGACTAATTGTATTTGCCAAGGGATGGTGCAAAAGAGGAGTGAAACGTCAGGATTCCCGCCTGATAAACCAATTAAACTAATGATTGCCAAAATACTGAAGTGAACAAAACTGAAAACACCCCTGTGAGGATTTAAGAACTTCACTGAAAACCACTGTGCAGCAAAATGCCAGTTTTTAGTGCAGAGAGACTCAGATTTCTGCAGCACTTCTTCTGGCTTTGGTGAACTAAAAACAGCTTTAGGTTTAGAATCACCATGCTAGGACTTTTTGCGTAGTTTTGATGAGATTCTGTTAAAAAGCCCCAACTGAACAGCACCACCTGAACACAACTTGTGGTGATGCTGAGGGTAAAAAACTTGAAAATTTGCTTCTCTCCCAGCAGATACAGGGAGCCGACCCCTCGTGCACGATGGTTTTGGGGAGAGGTTTGCTAACAAAGATACAGACAGATATTTCCACAATTGCTTGGTGTCTGTTGTGCTCCCCAGTTTCCCTTGTCCTGCATCCCCGTCCCAGCCACATGTCCATCCCAGCCATGTGTCTGTCCCAGCCGTGTGTCCATCCCAGCCCCATGTCCATTCTCATCCATCCCCGTGTCCATTCCCATCCCATCCCTGTGTCCATCCCATCCCTGTGTCCATTCCATCCCCGTGTCCATCCCTATCCATCCCTGTGTCCATCCCATCCATCCCCATGTCCATTCCCATCCCAGCCCTGTGTCCATCCCATCCCTGTGTCCATCCCCATCCATCCCCATGTCCATTCCCATCCCAGCCCTGTGTCCAACCCATCCCCGTGTCCATCCCATTCCCGTGTCCAACCCATCCCCGTGTCCATCCCATTCCCGTGTCCATCCCAGCCCCATGTCCATTCCCATCCCATTCCCGTGTCCATCCCTATCCCATCCCCGTGTCCATCCCATTCCCTTGTCCATCCCAGCCCCATGTCCATTCCCATTCCCGCGTCCATCCCTATCCCATCCCCGTGTCCATCCCAGCCCCGAGCCCCACTCACCAGCAGCACGGTGCCGCGGCCGGGCCGGGGGCAGCCCTGGGCAGCGGGGGGCAGCGGGCAGCGCTGGCTCAGCCCCTCCATGTCCTGCGGCCCCTCCACCTGCTCTGCCCGAGCCGGGAGCGCTGCCCGGACCGGCGGCACTGACTCCTCCTCCCCATCTCCTCCTCCTCCTCCTCCTCCTCTCCTTCCTGCCCGGCTGGTGCCCGCCCGCCCTGGGACGAGGGGCAGCGCGGTGTCCCCACCTGGCGCCGCAGCCCGACCTGCAGAGCTGCGGGACAAATATCGGGGATCGGCACCCCAAAAGTGGGGTCAGACACCCCGGTGCTGGTAGCGAACTGCAGCTGCCTCTGCTGCCATGTCCAGGCTGTCCCTCCAGGACAGGCGCTGGAACCCTCCCAGTGCCCTCCCCGGAGCTCTGAGACGTGCTGACTCCATTTCTCACCTTTGCTTCGATTTCTCTGTCTATAAACCTGTCGTTTTCTCAGATTTCATCTGGTTGGGGTTCTTTGGATAGAAACCACCGGGCAGGTGCTGAATCCTGGCGTGTTCGTACCGAAAATCTCCTGTAAGGGACGCGGGGCAGAGGAGCCGTAACCCCTTTTAAAAACCCGTAACATTTCACTGTCCCCCTGTCTGTTCCCAAAATCTGCCGGGAGAATTCATCCCTTGCCAGCCTGCAGAACACCCGAACCCGCCTATTGTTTATTTATTTGGGGGATGTAGCCTTTGGCAGAGCTGGAAGTACGAAGTTGTAGAAGTTCTCTGACCGCATCACTTAGTTTGCAAAAGGTGAGAAAATTCAGCTTGAAGACATGAGGGGGTGACAGAGCCCAGGGAGCTGCTCCGGGCAAACACCGGGCTGGGACCGGCTGTTCCTGCTCTCCGGGATCAGCACTTTCCCTTCCCGAACACAGATAAACGCCGTTTATCCCATTTTTCCCAAAAAACAGCGACGCCGTGCACCGACCCCCGCGCTCCCCTCAGGGGATCGAGACCCGCCACGCTCCCAAGGGGACACGCCCCTTCATTACCGGGACCACGCCCACCATCACCGAGACCACCCCCACCATCACCGGGACCACGCCTCCATTACCGGGACCACGCCCCTTCATTAGCAGGACAACGCCCCTGCATTACCGGGACCACGCCTCCATTACTGGGGCAACTCCCCTTCATTACCGGGACCACGCCCACCATTACCGGGACCACGCCCACCATTACCGGGACCACTCCCACCATCACCGGGGCCGCGCCCCCTCGCGCCCATGGGGCAGGGCCGAGGGGGGCGTGACGCGCGGACATTTTGTTTACATTGCGCCGGAAGCAAAGGCCGCCCTTAGCAACGGCGCTGCGGTTGCTAAGGGCTACCCGAATTCTCGCGAGATTCCGGCCCGGCTGTTGCTACAGGCGACGCGAGTTCTCGCGAGACTCCCGGGAGATGGCGGAGGCGGCTGCGGCCAAGATGGCGGAGGCGGCGGCGGAGCTGCTGGAGCGGGCGGCGCGGCGGGACGCGGCGCTGGAGGAGCTGCGGGCCCTGCGGGTCGCCCTGGAGGCCGTGCCGCCCGCCACCCTCCGCCCTCGCCTCGGCGAACACCACCTGGGGGCGCTCTTCGGCCTCCTCGCCGTCAATGACCGGTGAGCTCCGGCGCGGTGCCGCGGGCCTGAGCGGCCCCGCTGCTGTTTCCCGGAGCGGGGGGCTCCTGCCGCCTCCCCGGCTCATTCCCTGCCCTCTTTCGGGGCGGGAGGTGGCACAGCGGGTTCCCTTTCCTCAAGGGCTCAGTTTTCTCTCCGTCCCGCCCAGCGAACAGGTGTCCGCGTGTGTTTCCATCCTGGAGAGGCTCCTGCAGGCCCTGGACCCCCTTTACGTGATCCAGAACCTCAGGGAAGAGCTGCAGAAGGGCCTTTTCCACCCCGATGACTCCGTGAAGATCCTCACCATGTCCCAGGTACATTTTCCTCCAGGAGGAGGGGACAGAGCTCTGTGCTGAACTCTGGCTTAGTTCCCATCTGCTCCTTCCTGCCTCAGTTTGTGATAAAAGCAGGAATTGTATCCTTCATTATCATTCAGTTATCATTTGGGATAATTACCGTGCAGTGTGCATATAATGCTTTATGATATGTCAATAATAATATCCAAAGCTATGTCCTGACAAAAGCAGCTTGTGAATAAAACTTCTGCCACGTGTCCTGGTTAACGCTTTCTGTGCCAGCACTGACAGCAGGTGATGTAAGAATTAAAAGCAGCAACATTTTGATATTCGGGATACTTTAAACTATTGTGGAAACACCAAGCAGGCTGTGGGAGCTCGACACTTGTTGCATTAATTTAAAAGAACAGGATTGTGAGGGTGCTGTGGTTTGGGATGGATTTCTATCAATTCAGCTAAAAGCAACTGCTCTGGTGCTGTCCAGTTGAGTTTTGATCCAAAAACCTAAAAAAATTGTGGCACTGGCTTTCTGTGCAGCTGTTCCAGTGCTTGAGTATCATTACAGTGGGGAAAAAAAAATTGTTTTAAAGTTATTTTCTGTAACTCTTTGCTCAGGTTGGGAGGATTGTTGAAGACTCAGCTGCTGTCACAGAAATTCTCCACAGCCCCGAGCTGTTACGGCAAATCATAAACTGCATTGGTGGGGAGAAAATATCAGTGGCCAAAGAGGTAAACATGGCTTTACTGTCCCATTCCTCTGCAAGCTGAGGTGGCTGGATGACAATAATGAGCTCACCTCAGTGTTCATGAATTATAATTAAAATTAAGTGTATACCTATAGTTGATAAGTTAATCAAGAGCATTGCAGCTAAACCTGGTAATCTTAGATTTTCTTCTCTGCGTGGTTTTGTTCCTTTTTAGTAATAAGCTCCTGTTTTTGCTTGCAGGCCATTAAATCTCTGTCAAGAATAGCCCAGAGCCAGGAGGGTTTGGAGGCTCTGTTTGGGAGCAGTTTGTTGAGTGACCTGAGGAACGTCATGGCCACGAGTGACGTTGTTCGGTACAGGGTCTATGAGGTGGGGATGTTCTCTGGTGCTCCTGACTCTCAGCCTGGGGTTTATGGCTTTTAAATTATTGTTTCTCACTGCTTTACACACTTCCCTTCACATCTGTGTTTTATCAAAACTAGAAAGGAGTAGAAAGATTACAGCAGTGTGGGCTTTCATGATGTCATAACTTCTCTTTCCCATTTTTTGGTATAAAAGTGTGAATTACTGTTTATTTTCTAACTTGTAGTGCCTAAGGCATTGGAAGGGTTACACAGAATTACTAAAAACACCAGAAAGTGTTTGTTTCTCTGAAAATAAAAGTAAAATAGTTAAGTGTAGCCTCTTAACTTGTGGATGTGAAGTGCTGCTGAAGGTTTTGGAGAGATGCCAACTGCCAGTCTAGAGCTGTTTGGCAAAGGAGAAATAACACAATTTAGCCATTTTAGAGCTTAATGGGGATAGCACAGGAAGAGCTGATTATGAGTAGAGATCAAAATAATGTGTTGTAAACTTGGAACTCCTTATGAAGTTGCTCCAGGCAAGCATTTGGGTTAATGATAAAAATGTGATTAATTACATATTTAATATATGTAGGGCTAATTAGCACCATAAGATGTATTTGGCTGTTGCTGTGAATTATTAGAATGTTTTTATAAACTGTCGTTTTTGCTTTTCTTTAGTTAATTGTGGAGATTTCATCAGTGTCAGCAGAGTCTCTGAATTACTGTGCAAGCAGTGGGTTAATCCCTGAGTTAATTGGGGAGCTGACTGGAGAGGATGTGCTGGTCAGGTACGTTGGTGAGTTTGCCAAGGTGATTTCCACCATTGTTCAAACTCTGATAAATGTGTTTGTGTGTGTCTCTTGTAAAACTCTTTTCAGAAAAACACTTCATCTGCCTCTTCTTAAACTGTCCTGAGTGTCAAATGCTTTATACCTTAATCTGAGGACCAAGCTGGAGTAATAATTACCACGTTTGGCTGCAATAGAAACACTTCAAGTTCTTTCACAAATCTGAGGAGCTGAATGAGCTCAGAGAAGCTTGAACAATTGGGGCCATTTGGCTTTTTTTTTTGCTAGGATTTCATCTTATGGATGTGATTTCTTTTTCTTAATCACTGAGTGCTTCAAGCCCCACCTCTAAACTGAAGTAACCGTGTGTGTTGCAGAGCCACGTGCATAGAGATGGTGACCTCGCTGGCCCACACCCCCCACGGGCGGCAGTACCTGGCTCAGCAAGGAGTCATCGACAAAATCTCCAACATCATCCTGGGGGCAGAGTCAGATCCCTTCTCCAGCTTCTATCTGCCAGGTGACACCATGCATTCCTTCTTTCCAGGGTTTGCTGCTTGCTTTGGTGATGAGTTCAATTGGCAGCACTGTTAAGCCTCTCTGTTGAAAGCTCAGGGGGAAATTTTGAATATTAGATCGGATATGTAAAATATTGGATATTTCAAAAATGCTGAAGGAGAGTCTGACACACAAAGGATGTTCCTCAGTAGGAGTGGTAAGATCTGGACAGGCTGTGCTGTAGCTTTAAAGTTTGTGTTATTGTAGCCTTTTTTAGGAATACAAACATCATGAATTAAGCAACAGTCAAAATATTTGGCTTGTTGCTTAGTTCTGTCTTATTTTGAGCTTTTTACCAACACTATTCAGACTTAATAACACATGTTTAGGAACAAATCAGTCTCACATAAATGTACATTTAATTTTGCCATTGCTGAAGTTACTGTTCTTCCACTCAAAGCTTTTTTTGGTCTTGTTTTCTCAGGATTTGTTAAATTTTTTGGCAATCTGGCTGTTGTGGACAGTCCCCAGCAGATCTGTGAGCGCTACCCTGTCTTTATGGAAAAAGTCTTTGAAATGGCAGAAAGTCAGGATCCAACCATGATTGGAGTGGCTGTGGACACACTGGGAATCCTGGGATCAAATATGGAAGGCAAACAGGTTTTACAGAAAGCTAGTTAGTATCTTTTTTTTCTTTACTAAAATCTTCTTGTTACAGGAGTGAATTGGTTTGGGGTGATACAGAAAGGAATTGAAAAATGTATTCACTTATCTAATGAATACATTTATAATGTAGCTGATGGGTAACTGTATTCCTGTAGAGATCTGGCTGAGTTAATTAAAAGCACTTTGTTTTTGTTTTGAAAGGAAGTAGATTTCAAAATCTCTTAAGCAAAATAGGGCACCAGGCCAAGAATGCCCCCACTGAGTTACGGCTTCGGTGCTTGGATGCGATTTCATCTCTGCTTTACTTGCCTGTAAGTTGGAGTTTTTGTCTTTGTTTTTCCTTTAAATCTCCAAGAGTGAAATCATCACACACCTGAGTAATTGTGAGGACACATTTTACAGCCTCTAGGCTGGGTAGCAGTAGTGCTTTCAGGGTTCTGAGTCACTGATTTACTGGTTTGAAGTTCCCTGATTGATTTGCCTAAAGGTTTGGGTTTGTTTGTAAGGAGACAGGTGTTCTGAAATGTTAATAAAAGATGAAGTCAAGGCTTCATTGATGAGGGAATGAGAGTAAAGGTTCATATCCTTGTGCTCAGAGGGATGGGGGCAAAGTGCTCCAGCCCCTGTGGTCTTTGGGATCTGGGTTACCAGTGGAGCTCTGAATGGGTGGTTAAACCATTTGAGCACATCCTGGAAACCTGAAAGCTTTTCACAATCCTGATCAAACTCTTTCATTTTTGTGATTTACGTAGCCAGACCAGCAGACAGAAGACCTTTTAAGAATGACTGAATCCTGGTTCACATCCCTGTCCAGCCAGCCCCTGGAGCTGTTCAGGAGCATCAGTACTCAGCCATTCCCTGATCTCCACTGCGGGGCTTTGCGGGTGTTTACTGTGAGTGCTTTTGGTTTTCAACATCAGGGAGTGACTTGTGTTGCCATTCAGTCTCAGATTTATTTATTTCTTTGAAGGGAATACCATAAATTTCTTGTTAAAGCCCAGAAGTGGTCAGAAAAAGGCCTTTTTCCTCATGCCCTACTTGGCTTCCCCATGTAAATAATGCAGCAGACACATTGTGTCTGTAATGCTAATTTTCTCATAAATTGGAGAGGGGAAAAAAGGCAAGAGCTGTGCTCTAAGGTGCTGCTTCTATACCAGAGGCACTTCTGTGATAATTCCCTCAAAACTTTGAGGATAAGCACTGAGCTCTACTTGTTCTCCAGTGCTAAACCCTGCTGCTTGATTTGAGTGGTGGTTTTGTATCTGATTTAATTTTTCCTGTTCCTTGACCACGTACCAAAAACCCTCCTGTGTAACTGCTTTTCTGGGGTTTTATGTTTTCCTTCTCTCACACATCTTTTGTCGTCCTGTTCAGGCCATTGCAAATCAACCATGGGCCCAGAAGCTGATGGTGAACAGCCCAGGGTTTGTGGAGTACGTTGTGGACAGATCTGTGGAGCCTGACAAAGCTTCAAAGGATGCTAAATATGAACTGGTGAAGGCCCTGGTGAACTCCAAAACCATTGCAGAGATCTTTGGCAATCAGTACTACCTGAGGCTCAGGGCTTACCTGCATGAGGGCCCCTATTATGTTAAAGCAGTTTCTACTACAGCTGTGGAAGGAGCAGAATAATGTCCTTGGTGTCTGGAGTCCCCTTCCTGCAGAACACAGTCCTTTCACAGGTGTTGAGGTACAAAGGTGTAAAAACTCTCCACACTGGAGGTTGTCTCTTTAAAGGAACATGAAGATATTTTGGCTCTATTTGAAATGAGTCAGGAGAGCAAATTAAAGGCTGTTTGATATTTCCCCCTAAAATGTCATGGCAGAAGTTCCCTGTGTGCTTCATGGTACAGGTAACCCAGGTGAGCACTTAGCAGCTCCTGATTGTGTTTTATTTGGCAGGATTTATCAGTGTTTGTTTAAATTGTTCTTTGGTTTGGAATTTCTGTTGTGTTTTCTCAGTAGGTTACAGTTCAGTTAAAAAAACCACCAAAACACCTCAAGGTTTGTAACCTCAGATGCTGCCATAACTTCTATTCTTTTTTAATTCATTTTTTTACTTGCCAAAGTTGGCACTTGCATGGAACACTCTTTGTTCTGTCAGAATCCTGTTGCTGAATAAGCCAGTGACTGTCCACGAGGGAGTATGGATTGGATTCTCTTGTTTTCAGCCTGCTGGATGTGAATCTTGCTGGAATAAATAATCCTAAATATTGTTTACATTTTCTCCTGAGGATTAAAACAAATAAGTGTTTAGCCCTTTTAAAAACAAATCAATGCACTCTGTAGGGATCAAACCCACCTGGGAGCTTTGTCTCCCTTCTTGGCTGTGCTGTGGGGTGGCAGCTCAGTTTAGTGGCTGGAGCACTACAAGGCTACTTCAGAACCAAATCTTGAATTGTTTACACTATTTTTTAACAGATACAATTTTTTAAAAGTATTATTTAAAGAAATGTGGTATTTTAGTTAACAGAGTTAGACTAAAAGGGGTGAGAATATGGAGCTCTTGTGTTGAAGGGAGTGAATGTACTGGGAGTAAGGAAATGTGGTGTCTTAGGAAGTTGGAATCTTCTTTTGAAGATGTCAGAACTGGGAGAGAATCAGGAGTGGCTGGGCACTCCAGTGACATGGGACATGCCCTTGCCCATAAACAGAGACCACAGGGGACTTTCTATCAAAGTCTTGTGTTCTTTTTGTTAAGGGGGAGCAAAATTAAACATTTAATTACTGCTTTGGGGCTCATTTTAGTAATGTGTCAGCCAGGTGTAACTGTGGGAAGCACTGACCCCATGTCCCTGTGCTGCCAGGGGAAGCAGGAGGATCCTGTCCTGCAGGAACTCTGGTTTTGCCTGTGGTAGCTGGAGGTGCAGCTGGCACTGCTGCCAAAAATTGCTGCCCAGGAGTCCAGGTGGGCTCAGAGGAGCTGGGGGAGATCCCTTAATGTTTGCTAAGCTGTCTAAATGCAGGTGAAGTGCCTTGTTTCTCACCACCCAAGATGTCTCCAAGTTGTCATCCTACATCCCAGTGCTGCTGCTTTTATCCTAAATGTGCCCAATAAACATCTGCCAGTGAGAAATGTGTCTTGTGACTGGAGAGAGCACGGGGGCTTCATGAATCCTGCATCCAGCAAACACATCAGAGCACTAAAAGGAAATCAAAAGTGTAGAAGTCCTTAGCTTGCACTTGTTCTGGGCAGTTCAGCTCTGTTATTTTAGGTGGCTTTGTGTGCTGGTGGCTCTGTACGAGCCATATGCTGAAATGTCAGTAAAATAAATCAATATATAAACCTGTTCTACAATTCATGAGCCTCTTCCATGTGTGTTTTCAGCTGGTGCTTTTGAAAGCTACTCTGTGTGCTGAGTATTTAGCATCTGCTTTGCATGGCACACTTGCCAAAGACAATATTTTAGAATGTGCAGAGATGCCAAACAAGGGGATTTTTTTATGTATACACATATGCTTTATTTTGTTGAGCTTTGAGCTCAGTGTTGATTGATTAATTGATCACTTTCCCCTTATTACTCAGATGCAGTTCCCTGCCCATGCTGTACATTGCCATATGGATTACATGCTGCTGCTGTATCTGATAAAAATGACAAAATTGGAGTGTGTTGTTTTTGTCATCCCCCTTTAAAGTAACAGGTGGAGATAATTGAGGAAAAAACACGAAGTGGAATGCTGGAGAGTTGAGGTAACATGCTGAACATTTGGTTTAAAAACCAAAAAACCCCAAACCAAACCTTGTCATTTGATGGATGTTAACAAGCAGCATTACTTGAGGGATTTCCACGATGGCTCAGTGTCTGTTCCTGCTGGAGCTGCTCTGTTTCTCTCAGCCTGCTCAGAAGCAGCTCCTTTTGTGGATGTAAAGCTTCCCCTTTGTTACAGAATTCTTTGGAGGTAGGTGATACCTCATTCACATAAAACAGTTTTGAAGACTCAAAAGTCTGAAAAACCCTGGATATAGACAAAGTCTGTTGCAATACTGTTTTTTACTTCCAGGCATGCACTTGTAGGTACTTACAGAGGCAGAGTACATCCAGTTCTGCTCTGTCACTCTGCAACAGTGAGAATTCATCTGCTGCTGAAGGGAAAAGAGCAAACTTTGGGAGGGGATCCTCAGTACTGAATGTTAACTGGATAACACAGCTGATGAAAGAAAATCCAGCCTCTTTTTGCAGAAGTTAAACATTAATTGACAAAATGAAGGAGCTCATTTTTTATCCTATCCAAGTTGAACTGTTTGAACTTATCAATGTAGGTCAGAACCTTGCAGGACACCAGGCTGTAGTAGGTTTCCAGTAAGGAACAATCTTCCCCATTGCTTGTTTCCTTCCAGTCTTGAAATAGCTCGTCCTCTCTCATGTCAGAGGAGGTGAAAATGAATTTATAGCAGCATCGATTGTAGCTGATGTGCTTCTCCCCAGCAAAGCGGGAGCTGTGCCTGGCAGTGATGCCAGCTCTTTGAGCACAGATCCCTACAAAAGCAGCTGGGGGCACTGCCAGGGGCACCTCCCTGGCAGCCACGTAAACCTTGCGAGCCACGTCCTGGGACATGAGGAAAGCGCTGCCGTGGCAGAAATCCGGGTAGAACTCCTCGGGGTATTGATGGATGGGGACAAAGCCGGGGCTCTGGGGGTCCCTGTCAGGCACTCCGTGATGAACCACCCTCCCAAGGTAGATGTCCTCCAGCTGGGTTAAGCTCAGCAGGTACCCAGCCAGGCTGGCAACACCCACAAACACATCCTGGGCTGTGTGAAGGATGTACCTGGCACGGGGACAGAAAGTCACCGTCCACTCCACGCTCATCAGCATCTTCTGTGTCTGCGTCTGGGGGGAATCGATGAAACTGCCTTCAATAATGTCTCGGTGCTTTTGAGCCTCTTCATTGATCTCCAGCTGGGTGCTTGCTGCAGCTGCCTTTCCTACAGCAAACAGAGTCAGGACGCTGTAACCCCTGGAGCCTGTCGCATTGCCCCAGGTCTGCCTGATCACATTGCGCCTTGTCCTGTTTTCTGGGCTGCTGCAGACAACAATGAGCAGAAATATCTCTTGATTGGAGCAAGTCACTGAACTGCTGCTGGTGTGAGAGAGGTTGGCCTTCAGAGGATCCAGATCCAGCTTCCTGGCCCTCTCCCTGATCTCCAGAGCCTTTGCATCGGTGTATGACAGAGGCAGGGAATGCAGGAAGTACTGCTCCAGTAAATCTGCCCCAAAAAGCAGCATGTGGAAAAGCAAGACATTGAAGAGGATGAAGCACCACTGGTGTGTGCGGAGCCTGCAGAGGGTCAGCTGGGGAACAGGAACATGGACACTGAATTCTCTTGCCTCTCAAACCAAAAGGCTTTCCCTTATTTTACAATATATCCATGCAAAGCAATCACAACTTTTTAGACCTTTCTGGTTTTTGTATTATGAGTGTGAGGCTTTTTTTTCCCCTAGAAACTTAAGGAATTTACTTGTGGCACAGTGACACCCCAAACTGAGGACAGTACCATGTTGAAAGCTTCTTTCTGTGCATCCGTGTGTGGAAAATACTGAAGAATGACTTGCTATGAGTAATTTTTCACAATTTTTATCTTGTTACTGAAGGCCTTAGTATGTCCTTGAAGAACTTTGGGTACTTGGCCTGACACTGCCCTATGAAAGCTGTCAGGGTTAGAATCCAGAGGGAAAGGCTGGGTTGGATGGGGTTTGGAGCAACATGGGGAAGTGGAAGGTGTCCCTGCCCATGGCAGGGGGTGGGATGAGATGGTCTTTAAGGTCCCTTCCAACCCCAAGCCTGTGAAAGCTGTAAGAGGCTGCAGCACTTACCTGCATGGTGCTGGGAGCTGTGTCTGCAGCAGGGGCTCTCTGGGCAGTTTCTCCTGGCTGTGGCTGTATCTGGGTCTGCAGGATCCAGTTACTGCCCGGTGCTCCCACCTCACCTGCCTGGGCGCAGGAAAGATGATCCCCGGGGCTGATCGTGTTGCAGCCACATAAAACACAAAGCAAACAAAACCCTGGCCTTTCCCTTTATTAATTTCTGGCACTCTGAGAAATAAGTGAAGCAGATGCTGGGGCTCACTTGGTCACAGGAATCCCTGGCACTGTTGAGTCTGTCCTTGATCTGCCGCTTTGCTGCTGGCCCTGGGGGCTGTGTTTTCAGAGCTGTGCCATTGTGGTGTCGGTCCCGCAGTCTGGGGCAGTCGCTGAGCGCTCTGCATCTCCTGAGCTGGAGCTTTGGGGTGTGAACTCGTGGGGTGTGTGGGGTGCTGGAGGACACCCCGAGTGGGCCAGGCTGGCTCCAGCACACGGAGCTCTGGCCTGGGCAGGTTCTGGCCTGGGCTGCTCTGCCTGTTGCTGTTGGCTCAGCCGCGGCTGTGCCGGAGCTGCCGGGGCTGGGGAGCCACAGGGACCTGGAAGTGCTGCAGGGGGAAGTGCCAAAGACACCACAAACAGGATGGAGCTGTCAGCAGGGGGAGAGTTGGCTTTGGCAGTGGGGCTGGGGAGCACTGAGGGGAGAGGGGCTTGTGGGTCCCCAGCAGCGCCCTGGGAGGGCAGGGAAGAACCCTTCCCTGGGTGATGGCAGCGCTGCTGTCTGAGGGTGGATTGAGGTGGGACGTGCTGGCCGTGTGGGAACTCCAGCCTCCCTGGGAGAGCAGGGAGATCAGGATTTCTTTTTCGTTTTAAGAAGATTTCTCAGAGGTCAGGGTGCGTTTCTGTTCTGCATCCTTGGGTGAGAGGAGAACACAGCACTGCTCTGGTTTGTCTTGGCTGGACCATTGCAAGGCTCCCTGCAGCATCCTTAGGGCAGCCTGGATTAGCCCAATGTCCCAGGGACATGGAGAAGAGCTTTGATTTCTGCCTTGAGGGGGCCAGGGTTAATCCCCAGCTCTGGCTGAGCTGCTCAGCTCTCCCAGCTGTGTTGATAGAGGGAACAGAGGAATTACAGAAGAAACCAGGTTCCCAAAATCTGCTCACAGCTTGGAAGTGCGTCTCACCCCACTGAAAAACCCCAAAACATTCACAGTGTGCGAGTCCCAGTGTGGATTTCTGCTTCAGGCTCTCCAAAAATAGGGAGAGCTCCTTCCCCAGGGCTTGTGTGTCAGCTGGGCTACAGCCTCATCTGGCCCAGTCTCACACTCTGCAATCCTCACAGAGGTTCTTTGCTTTGAAGCTGGGTGAGCTGTCAGCATGGGAAGTGTCAGTTAAATGTGAGCCCTGAAATAAAAGGCTAATAAGGAAATATTTTTCATGTACAGTAATACAGCCCTGCAACTCCAGTTACCCATTCTGGGGAAAAAAAAAATCCGTCTTTGAAGATATTCTGTCTCCAGCTGAATCATCTAATCAGCAAATAAATGCCAGCATTTACAACCTCTTACATTAAATTTTGAATATATTTATAATAATAAAATAATGATAATAATAAGCCCCACATGTGTATCATCCCTGGTGCAATTAGGCCCAGCGTGGTGCTGGCAGCACTGCTGAAGCCATTCCTTTAGCACTGCTCTGTGGTGGCAGCAGCAACTTTGATACCAAATATATAAAATTAACACTCCCCAACCCCAGCCAGGGCACAGGCAGCTCTTGGATGTGGGTTTTTTATTTATCCACAGAGCTTGGTGGAGTCCCACTGGGAGAAAGCTGAGGAATAGCAAGGCAAAGACTGCTGAAGGGGAAACTGAGTCCCTCGGCTCCAGGAAGTTTGCCTGGGGATCACCTTTAACCTCAGGTTTCAGGCAAACACAACACCTAGCAGCTCATGTGTGACCTCATCTCAAGTCTGAGAAGGGTGAAGTGAAGCTCCTTTGGGGAAATCTTCACTCCCAGAGAGATCCAAGAGTTTTCTGGAGAGGAGTGAATTCAGGACCCTGGAATGGTGAAGTCAGGCCAGTGGGGATGGGAATGCTGTTCCTACAGCTGCACTGAGACCCTGCACAATCCTGGGGGTGTAAATTAGGCAGTCACACAGGACAGAAGATTTTCTTCTGAGCCTCAGGGCTTGAATTTGCTTTCTGTGAGATGTTTTCACATTTTCATTAAATTTTATGTCCAAGCGAATCTCGCTACAGAAGCAGGGATGTAACGCTGTGAGCAACTTGAGCTTCCTAAACCTGTGAGTGTTCAGACTGAAGGATGTTTGGGTTTGATTTCTTGGAGAGCACGTATTTTGTGATACCCAAAGATCAAAGCAGAGCTGCCAGGAGAGTGGTGGGAGATGCTGTTGAGCAGGAGGAGCCCGGGGCGGGCAGTGGGTGCTGCAGGGGAGCAGCAGAACCTGCAGCTCCTTAAAACGTCTCCTAAAGTCTCCTGGCTTCCCTCCCAGTGCTGGGAACATTTGGAAGGGGGAGCAGAGCCTGGCTTCCCTCAGTTCTGCTCGACTTCACTTTGTGAAAATGCGAAGGCTTTGGATGACGCACCGTGCTCAGGCGATGGAGCAGGGGAGGGTGGATGGATGGGATTGATGGGGAAAATCCAGTCAAAATTTGGTTTCCCAATATAAATTTGTTCAAATGTGAAAGCTGGAGCTCAGCCTGCCCTAGAAGTCCTTCTCAGGAGGGTGGACACCCCTCTCTGTGCCCACCATGGTGCCCCTGCTCCTGGGCTCTTCCCAAAAGCCAAGTTCATTCCCACAGGCACGTTTGCCAATTTTCACTTGCTGCCTTCTGCTCCAGGGACAGCTCAGAACCCTCTGTGGATCCCACCTGGCACAACCTCCCTTTCCATGAGGCATTCCCTGTGCTCTCATGGATTCACCTGTCTGATTCTAGGGCTCAGAGATGCCCCTTGTCACCCCAGCCAGGGTGCACAAAGCACTCCCAGGTTTCCAACAAATTTTGGATGCTACACAAAGGATCCCCTTTATTCCAAACTGCCTTTTGCAGTTTCAGCAGCACACACAGACCTGAGAGCACGAGGGGGACCTGTCTGGGTTTTAATAACAGCATCAGTTACAATAAATAGAGATGGTTGTTTAGATCTTAGTCACCTAAAAGCAATATTTGTGCTTGAAGACATGATTCAGCTCTTGCAGGCAGTTCTTCACCTTACATTCTCCATGGGGCTTGGGAAATTATGGAAGAGGCTTTGTAAGAGTTCTACAGTGCATGTTGCACTTGTTATTTGATATTCAATGTCCCTTTGGGTATTAAATAAAAGTAGGAACCTGAAAACCATGCAGACAAAGCTGAGCACTGACAAGCAGACAAACATCTCTGTGGTTCCCAATGCGCAGGTGAAGGTGTCTTTGCTTCTGATTTAATGGCTCAGTTGATGAGACTAAAACCACATTTTTATAGCCAAGTTTCCTGCATTCTTCTTTTTGTTTCACATACATCAGTCTAGGAGTTACAGAGCTCTCTCCTTTTTTATGGTATGTTTGATTATTCCTTCTTGAGATTAATGACAGCTTTGACAATTCCCTACCTCTGTATTCCTGGATAACGACAGCCTCAACCCCCTGTGTGTTCAGAAGTTCTGCATTCAGCCTTGGGATCTCTGAGTTAAACATGAGCTGAGTGGAAAGAGCCTAAACTTGTGTGAAATGCTGAGTTGTGAGGCCACAGGGCCTAGTGGGTTCCCCAAGTGCTCTCTGCCAAGATGTCAACTTGACAGAAAAGTTGCTTATTTTGCAGTGGACCAGCCTTGTTGTTATTAATTCTTAGACTATGCCATGTGAGTTGCTTTTTTGATGATTTTTTGATGCTTTTTTCCTGGCCCTTTCATTCCCTGCAGGCTGTATTTGTGCCTGGCAAATGGAGATTCACATGAAATCCATTTGACACGTACAACACCCGCAGCCTCGGAGTCTCAGCTCGGGCTCTGCTTTGATTAAATTCAGTCCACGCTCTGACAACATTTCCAGCTGGGAGCAGATCTGGTGTGGCTGTTCCCGACTCCGTGGCTGCTCTGCCCTGCATGGGGCATTTCTCCTGGGAGAAATTTCAGCTGGAGCATCTCCTGGGCACCTCCTTGCCCTGGGGTAATGGGGTACCTTCGTGATGCACCCAAAAAGGCAAAGCTTGCCCAAGGCTGTGGGGGAAACAGGAGCTGGATGCAGCTCGTGGGGCTTCAGTGATGCCCCAGCCCTTCCTCTCCAGGTGCTGGATGGATCCAGCTGTGCTCCCGCAGGTGCCCCAGGGCTGGGGAGGGGCTGCAGCCCCCCAGCCACGGCCAAGGCTCCCTCTGGTGGGGCTGTCCCCATCCTGGCAGGGGTTATCGGGGAGCTGGAACAGGACAGGGACTCCTGTGATGCGGATCCCTGGAGCCCTGTGGATGGCTGGACTCGGATGATGTGCTCTGCAGAAGATGACTTTCCCTCACTCTCGCCTCTGACTCATCCCACTGTTGCTTCCCACGGATTTATTTATTGTTCTCCCAGACGCAGAAACAGCAGAGTTGAGTGTCCCTGTCCCTGCCAGGCCCCTCCTCGGGCAGCTGGGCTGGGATCTGTCAGAGCAGCCGGGCCTTCCCCCGCACTCATCCCTGGGGGTTCTCCTTCCCCGGGAGCCCTCCACGAGCCCCCTGTGCCTCTCCCCGAGCCCTGCTCTGCTCTGGAGAGATGTTCACACACAGCACCCGGCCTTGGAAACGGCACTCGGCATCTTGGGATGTGCCTGTTCCCGGCTGCGCTGCTCATTCCCTGCCCAGCCCCTTGGAATGTGCGCTCTCCTGCTCCGGGGTGCAGGAATGTCGGGGTGCTGAAGGGGCTCCCCAGCAGAGCTGTAGGGACTGAGGGGGTCAGGAGAACGGTGCTGCAGTAGGAGGTGCCTGAAATCCTTATTAATTGTATTTTGTGCCGAAGTCTGCTGGGAAATGAGGACTTGTAGCATCGATAGCATTTCGGGGAGTGCTGCAGCTGGAGGCAGGAAGGACCAGCTCAGCCCCGTGCCCCCAAAATTCTGAACGATGCCTTTGCTGGGAGCACTGTCCTGCCTTGCCCTGCCTTTGCCCCTTGGCTTTGGGGGTGCAGGGAGTGCTCTGTGCTGCAGCTGGGAGCAGTCCCCAGGACAAGAACTCTTTCCTCGGGTAGGATGCCACCAGATTGCCCAGCTTGTCCCTGTGGTGACCTGAGCCTGCTCACGGTGGGGCTTGGGTGGCACCAGTGTCAGGGACAGGTGGAACCAGTCCCACTCTGCCGTTCAAACTCCAGCCCATTTGGATGGGAATGTTCTCTTCTTCTGGCTCTTTCTCTTTCATTTTTCATTTCTCTCAGCATCTGACTGTAAGTGTTTTAAATAATTCCTCCCCCGCGCCTGTGTTATCACCCAGCATGTCAATACGCTGCTGTGCCACCCACCCCTCTCCTCCCGGAGCTGCACGTTAACGCTTTGCACCAGATAACGTGAGGCAATTAGTGAATGGAGAATAACCTTCCTACTGAGAGCAGGCTTGGGAAGCATCACACGGGCGGATTGCACGGGGAGCATTAATTGCTTTTCTCTCCAATGACTCCTGGTGTAGGAGAGTCCATATGGAGAGAGAGGAGGAGGAAGAGATGCTGCGGGAGAAACAAAGTCTCCAGTGCTGGAGAGAAGCGCAAAGCCCAGCGCATCCGAGTGGGGGCACTTCCCTCTGGATCCGGAGGCTGTGGCACAGCGGGGGCTGCGGCCCCCAGCGTGTGCCGATGGATCACACGAGCCCGGGAGCGGCGGATGCGGAGTGCGAGGGTGGGGTACCCCGGGGTCAGCGGGGCTGCGAGCTGCCGGAGAGAAACCAAAGCTCTGGAGCAGCGGGATCCCAGCGTGGAAGGCGTCACCTTCCCCCGGGTGTGACTGAAGCGGTGTGTTGGGTGACTGAGGTGGCAGGGGAGCTTTGCACAAAGCACAAGGGGCCGTGTGGCCGCTGCCTTTCTGTGGGAGCTGCTCCTTTTTTGGGGTATCTGCTCACCAGTGCAGCCCCGGGGTCCCACGGATGGCACCGCAGCGAACCCACCAGCGCCCGCACAACGGCCTGGGCTCGGAAAGGGAAATGGAAAAAGAAGCAAAAAGGAGAGGAGTGTACCCGAGCTGGGGCAGAACGACCCCCGGGCCGCCCCTGCCGTGTGCCGGGGGTGCTCAGTGGGACCCTGCTCGGAGCCGCTCCCTTTGCAGCCGCCCACATCTGGCTCCCCGCGAGGCAACACAATTTTGGGGCGCTTCCCATCTGGCCACATCATTACCGGTGGCACCTCCTGGCACACGGGGCTGAACTTGGAGGGGAGGGAAGGCACCTTGGTGCCCACCCAGTTAACCCTTTCCTGGAGGCGGCTGGCTCGTTTCCAGGCTGCCCACGCTGTCCCTGGGTTCGGGGCCATTCCCCAGCGGGGCCGTGTTATTGCAGCAGGGCCTCCCGGGAAGATCAACGCTCCCGGCCCGGCCGCGCAGCACGGCACAGGAATTCCCGGGGCTTGGCCGCGCTGTTTGCTTTCGGCACAACCCCGAGGCGCAGCAGCGCTTAATACAAATATTTGTGTGGGTAGTGGGAAGAAAAATAACTCAACTAAATAAAAAAGAAAAGGAAATAAACAAGAAAAGGGGGGGAAAAATAGAAATGGAAAGGAAGAAAGGAAAGGAAAAAGGGAAGGAAAGGGGAAGAGGAAACGGCAGGGAAAAGATAGGGGGAAAGGAGAGGAAAACGGAAAGGAAAAAGGAGAGGAAAAAGGAAAATAAAGCAAGCAACCCAAAGGTCGTGCTGACAGAGGCCAGAGGCGAAGGGACGGGGACCGCGGGAGGGCCACCGGCTGCTGCCCCAGCCCGGGGGTGGCGGGGGCCGGGGCGAGGCCGGCGGGGGCAGCTCCGGGGGAGGAGGCGAGCGCGGCCGCCGGTGCGCGTTGGGCGGAGCCCGGCCCCTCCCGGTGCGGCCCCGCCTCGCCCATCCCCGCCCATCCCCGCCCGTCCCCGAGCATCCCGCACCTGTTGCCGGCCGCTCCCCGCCGGGCTCCCCGCAGTGCCGCCCGGTGCCGGCATGCGGAGCTCCGGAGCGGCCCGCGGGCTGCCGCGGCGGCGGCTGCGGGGCGCGCCGTGATGGGCGGCCGGCAGCGGCCCCGGCAGCGGCCCCGGCAGCGGCCCCGGCAGCGGGACGGCGGCGCTGGCTCTGCCCGAGGCCGGCAGCCCCCGGCCCGTGCCCCCGGCAGCTCGGGGCTCCCATGCTCTGCCCCGCCTCGCCGCTCCGGGCCCCCGCGCCGCCGCGCCGATGCCGTTCTCGGGCGAGGAGCGGAGCCTGCAGGGGATCTACAAACCGGCGGGGCCGGCCGAGGGGCGGCCGGTCTGCTCCGAGTGCTACACCAACAGCTCCTTCGTCTACGACGATGGCAGCGCCCACAGGTACCGGGGTACCCACAGGTAGCGGGTGCGGGGCCGGGGAGGGTCCCCGGGGCTGCCGTCGTGCTGGAGCGCGGAGCTCCCGCTGCGGCCGAGGAGCCCCTTCCCCTGTCGGGGGCAGCCGGCGGGACCCCCGTCCCCATCCCCACCGCTCTCCCCTTGCCCCGAGGCTGGAGGAAAGTTTCTGGGGCACTTCCAGGCCTGGCCGGGTCCCTGCGAGTGCCCCTGTGGGCGCAGCCCCTGGTCGGGAGCTGCCCGTGTACGGGGAAGGGGCGCTTGGAGACCCCCGAGCAGTCACATCTTGCATGGGAAGAGGGTCCGTGCTGATCCCTCTGCCGAGCCCAGCTCGGACCGAGGCTGTGCTCTGGGGTGTGAGGGTGAGGCAGTGCTCGGCTGAGCCCTGGAGCCCCGCAAAGCCGAGGGGCTAAAATACACCCAGGAAAAAGGTACATTCCCGTAGGTGCTGCCCAGCCCCTGCTCCATTTTTGGGCTGGTTCTGTGCCAGAGTTACAATGTCCAGTGTGAGGGAGGGGAAGAGCTGCTTGAGGTGAGGGGGACTCAGTGCCACCATCCTCTTGTGCCTGGCAGCAGTATCTGTTTCTCACAAGTGGTCCTTGCTGAAGTATCCCAGTTTTTCCTGAAAAATGTTGTGTATTGTCATTGTTTTGATTAAATTTACTAGTATGGCTCTTCTGACTGTCACACTTATCAAATTCCAGCTGTAATGTGCAGATGAATTGTGTGTATTAATTCATGCCTGGCAGATAAGAACCTTAGCTGGGTTTGTGCCCTGGGCTGCCCAGCTGGGATTTTCTATGTCTTCATTTGCTTGCCATGATTTAGGGAAAAGATCTTTTTATTCCTAAAATCCTGAATGAAAAAAAGAAGAAGCAGTCTGTTCTTTAACTCTCAGTACATTGCCACTGAGTGGGTAATTAATAAAATCCCCAAATATTGTTTTTTAGGGTTAAGACCCCCGTTATTACCTTCTCTCTGTCAGTGACACGATGCCCAATGCATCCAAGGCTCCGTGGTGCCTCAGGACCCCCAACTCTGGGTAACACCACTTTGGGCACAGCAGGGTGGTGCTTTCCCCAGCCCTCAAACTGCCTCATTTTGCAGCTGTGCTTGTTGTGTCTGCAGAAATGACACCCTTGAGGAGGTTATTGTGTCTGTGAAGATCAGGGATCTGGTTGGAGACAACATCTCCCGGAGGTTTCCAGCTCCAAGCTTACGGGAAGACGAGGAGTTGCTCCTCATTACTGACACTGCAGCCCTGCCCAGGGTCATTTATCCTCATCTAATGCACTACAAAATCCTTGCCCAAACATTCTCCTGCCTGTCTCTTTCAATCTGGATAGAGGAACTTGGTTTCCTAATTATTGCTCTACAGCTCGATGTGTTTCTAACCCCCTCAGACTCCGGAGAGGTTGAAATGCCATTGCTTTCCATGGCTTGTCTTGCCTGCCCTTGTGCTCAGCCCTTTGCTGCCCTTCTGGAGATGTTAAACAAGCTGCCTGGAGCCCTCAGGACTCGGCAGTTTCCCCAGCTCGGAGCAGACTGGTGCCTAATGCACTTTTTCAGAGCTGATCAGCTGAAGAAGCAGAAAAGGGCTCTTACAGGCTAAGGAGAAAGGGCAGGAGCACAGCGAGCACCATCACACCATCAGGACTGATCTCTTGTTTGCTTTCCTCTTCTGCAGCCCAGGCTGGGGGCGCAAATCCTGGCAAGGGATGATCATCCACATTTACCCACCTGCTGTCTCTCAGCCTCTGCCTGCTAGCAGAGTTTCTCCCTCCCCTCCCCTCCTCTCCAGGCTGCCGTGGGATTTGTGCACAGCCCTCGGGCAGACCAGGGCTCAGCAGTCTGACACCATCCTCTTGTCTCCTCTCTGTCACTTCCAGGTGTGGGGCTGTAGGGCAGACAAGCAGAGCTGTCACCAGAGGTGCATGTGAAGGATGTGAGAGCCAGGATAGAGCAGCAAAGATGTGGAACATGTTCACTGAGCCTCCTGCTAAATGTTCAAGGGACCTCAGCTGGGCTGACCCTGCTGAAATAAGTGGAAAGCTCAATTATCCCTTCACTTAGCAAATCTAGAGCTGGTTTAAAAGCTGTTAAAGAGGAAAATCCATCTTCTCAGTTTCCTGAGTGTAGAGATGTGTGTGGGAACATCTGTGAACTTCCTTCTGGCCCTCTTTATAAGGGGTCTTGAAAGTCCCCCACAGGCAGAAAGCAAAGGGTTAATTGTAAAAGCACTTGAGAGTTTGTTTGGAGAGTAAATACACATTTCTGGCACCCAGAGGGTACAAAGCGCCTAAATTTCGCTTTCCTACCTCGTGGGAAATCTGGGTAAATGTTTGCACAAGGATCCAGCCTGTCACTTTGGGGAACTGAGGATTTCCTCCGGCCAGCGGCTGCGCTTCCTTGCCCATGTAAGGGCACTGCGGGCACGAGTGATGGATGGGCAGCCAGATGGAAGGACTCACACAAAAATATCCTGCCCGAGTCAGGGAGAGGCAGGCATGGGTGGGAGGAGGCTCGGATTTTCCATCCCCTGCCTCCTGCTCCTATGGCTGGTCTGAGAAGGAGAAGCTGGAAGGCGGCGGCGCACCTGGAGCAGCAGCTTAGGAAGGTCATGGCTGTGCCTTAGACGTACGTGGCTTTTCTCCTGTCTGCTCTAAACGGATCTCGTGGGGGATCTGTGTGGCTGCTGCTGTTTGCAGCCCGTGGGAGCAGGGATTTGGGAGCGGGATGTGGAGGGAAGGTGGGTCCCAGCTGCTCCAGTGCCAGAGAGGCTGAGTTTGGGGGCAGGACAGCAGCAGCCTGCCAGGCTCGGGATGTTCCTGGGCAATGTCAGCTCCAGGGGGCTGCGTTTGGCACGGGCTGTGCTCAGGGTGGTCTTACGGCCCTAGAAATCACAGCAAGATTTGGAGCAGTGACAACCAGGTTAAAAATGCCCATAGGCACCTTCTGCCATGGGTTAAAGCCTCTGCCTGAGTCCAAGGGCAGGAGAAAAGAAAAAAAGCATTGATTGAATAGGATTCTTGCCAAGTGTGAGCACTCATCCAGGCCCAGGATGGCTCTCCCATGGCCTTTCCTGCTAATCGTTAGATGAATCCAAGGAACTGTCTCAGTTTAGCTCAAGGATGGTCCCTGCAGCTGACAGCCTGTTGTTATCTCTAAAGTTTTCAATTTTCTGGAAATGAATGAGAAGATGCTTCTTTGGCAGAGCTTGCACTGAAGCAGACTCTGTAGCTAATTAGTAATCAGTTCCTCCAGGCGAGATTACTAGCCTGGACATTTATCAGCTTCCAGAAAGTCAGCCTTGTGGATTGCAACAACTGTTGCTTTGGCTGCCCATGGGCATCCAGGCCTTGCTGTTCCAGGAGAAATTGCCACAGGCAGCCATAAAACTACAGGGCCAAACATCCTGTATTTTCTGTGTGTCTGTGCAGCAGAGATGAGATCAAATTCTGCTCTTGTTTTCCTCAGGTGGTTAGGGAAGGGAAGTGTGAGGCTCTGGACTGCTGCAGGGGAGAACCCACCAGCACACCAGGCTCAGTGGGAAGAGGTTTTGGGACCCTTCCCCACTGTTCTGTTCCTAAAAGAACTCTCAGTGTGCTGAATGTCCTCCTTAGGAGCTGCCCTTGGGCTCTGGCACGGCTGTGTCACCCTTCACTGGAGAACAGCAAAGTAGGTCACTGCCTGTGCTCAGGGCTCTCTCTGCTCTGCAAAAATATTTACAGCATCTATTTGAATCCTCCCAGTCCTCCTGCAGCAACCTCTCCCTGACCCCCACGCCTGGTTCCCGAGGGCTGCGCGCAATTTGTTTTGGAGCCTGTGAAGGTTTCTCTTGCATCCCTGCCAGGCTGGGCTGGAGTGTGGAACATCTCATTCATCCTTCTCATGAATAAAACCAGGCCAGGAGCCAGGCGGGCCCTGAGTGCAGGTGCCTCTGGCCTGGTGTCCTTTGAAAGTGCCCAGTGGCAGAAACTGAAGGAGGGAAGGTTTTAGATGGGATCTGAGGAAGAAATCCTTCCCTGGGAGGGTGGGGAGGGCCTGGCACAGGGTGCCCAGAGCAGCTGTGGGTGCCCCTGGATCCCTGGAAGTGCCCAAGGCCAGGCTGGATGGGGCTGGGAGCAGCCTGGGACGGTGGGAGGTGTCCCTGCCATGGGAATGAGGTGGGATTTCCAACCCAAAGCATCGTGTGAGTCCTTGGCAGGGACAGAGGGCGGGACAGAGCAGCCCTTCCCAGCACTGGAGGTTGTACCAGTGGCTGGATGGATGCTTCCCTAGGGATTCACCTGCTCCCTCTTGAAGCCATCGGTGCTTTCTGCTTCCCAAAGAAGCTGGGAGATCTGGGATGTGGCTGCTCTGGGACAGAACACGTTGCTGTTCCTCTGAGCTGCTGACCTGTGATTTCCCTGTGCAGCTCCTGTGATGTTCTTGCTCCCTGGTTCTCCTCTCTGATTTTATTTCCTTCTCATCATATCTCTTTCCAGGCTGGAGACTCTTCCTGATGTATTTGGCCTTGCCTTGCACAAAACTCTTTATAACCCACAGTTGTCTCTGGTGCCCTTCATCTCTGAGGAGGGGAACCAGAAGCGTGTGTGACTCCATATTGAGCTTATCTGCAATGAAAATCCTTAAAATTTGGGGTTGTGACCACCACTGAGAGCTGTTTGCTCTGTGGCATCATCTGCTGTGACTCTGAGAGCTGATTTGCAGACCTCTCTGTGCCTGTGTGGGAAGATGATCACACCTCTCTCCCTTTGGATCAGTTGGAATTTATTGATGCTAATTTTTGTCTGACATTTTATCACCAGG